TCCGATCGCGGAGCTCGTGATCACGAGTCGCTCGATGTATGTATGCGCTCGCCTCGAAAATCAGGGCAAGCCGCTTCTTCTCGCGGGAACGTCGCGAACCTACGTCGACATCGGCCTCACGAGCACCGTACTCCTCGCCATATTCCCAGGAACCCGTTCCTTTCCGCGCCGCGTCAACCTCCGATCGAACATCCCAGCCCGGCGATAACCCGAATCTATCCGGCGCTGCCGCGAGATGCATCTATCCAGCGGGGAAGTTAAGCCGTCGGGAACTCCCATTGGTCACCGTGGCGGTTCGCCTAACGAGAATGACTAAGAATAGACGACCGCGGGTATCCCGACAGCCGGGACGCGCGAGGAGAGGCACCGAGACGCCGGCCGGAGCGAAGCCGGAGAAGAGCGAGTAGGCAAAGGGAGCCGGGTTAGGTAAAGCACAAAGGTAAGGGAGAAGGGAGGTAAAAATGTTTGGAGAAAAAGAAGAGGACGGCGGATAGCGGGAGTAAGGGAGAAAGACGGCGAGCGGCGAGGGAGGCGCAGGAGGGAGACGGAGAAAGAGCAGGGGGCGAGAAGGGAAGAGGGAGTGGACCACGTTGAGGTCGCGACCCGTAGCCCGCAGGCCCCAGTGAAAGGCCCAACGGCGATCCGCATCCGCGGGGCCCTGAGCGATCGAGACAGCCAGAGCCTCGCGAGAGAGCGAGCGAAACCGAGACGGACGGCGAGCCCTGCCGAGGCACCGTGAGCCGTTTCTTAAGATCGCGTTCTTCTTAGCGAGCCCACTGCCATTATGGCGCACTTAAAGTGGCAATCGTGTGGAAGGCAGCACCGCCGCGCAATAGCCACGAGTTGCGCAACCTTCGGTGACCCCACCCTGCGAAACCACACCGCGAATCCAGTCCGATGAAGAAGCAAGTGGTTCTACCTTCGATAACTAATACGTACCGCCGATAAGCCCACGGCGTGGATGATAAAACGCGTAGCTGCTCGTAGCCAAAGTACATTCGGCTAAATATTATTCTCGTTATCCTCGAAGACGACGTCTTCCCAAAATTTTGTTAATCGTCGTCGGGATGTTCGAGCTTGGTTAGCGATTATGGAAGACTGTACATGGAAGACGGAGTAATGGCGCGGTTCAAGAGGGTAGCGTGTAAATATAGCGTTGGTCGCTTCCTAAATTTCCCCTGACCGAAAATAGTAGCATCCTTCGATATCGTTTTGCCGAGAGTGCCTATTCGATAGGAACCTCTCGCGCATCCCTCGTGCCCCTCGAAGCAGTCGAGAGTCTGCCGGTGGCTGGGGGTCCCGACAATCACGGATACAGCTCTGATCGAACGATAATTGGATAGATTACGCGGAACCTCCTCCAACAACGATACCATCTCGTTTATGCGCCCGTTTTATGTGTTATACAGCTTGTGGTCCTCCGCAACGTGTACTTCGCTGCGATACGTTCACGTGGGCCAGCGTCTATAAACGCGATACGGTGGTCGGTATGGGAACTTTTTACCCGTTGGTAATGCTTAAGAGCCATGGAAAACGATCGCGTTGGCTCCTTAACTTCCCACCCCGATGGCTGCTGTCTTTGGCACTTCTACTTTCTTCTTCGCCACGGAACGTTCTTTACACGCCGAGCGTATACACCGTCCGGCAAAAAGTAGATCGATCCTCCGTATCGCGTTCCTCGTAGCAAGCTAATTGAAACGTCTCTCGCGCAACACGCGAGGTTCGTTAAAAACTTTCGAGAGGCAGATTTTTACGCTCGATGATTCGTTTTGTAACATTGTACCTGCTCGAACGCGAGTCGCGATATTCCAGATAGGCGGAAAAATGCCGGACCGGTGCGAAATATGCCTGGCACGCTGTGAAAAATACCAGGAACGAGGCTGTACGAGTAACTCGCGCGAAATGGTAATTCTAATAGCGATAAGGAAGCCAACCGTTCCGTTGCATCCGAGTCAGGACTCGTGAAAACGTGGAGGAGGCGTGATCACGCGATCGCATAAAATTTCAGCCCGCCGTATCCTACGATTTAGACGCGGCTGTCCGCAGCGGCCATGGATCTTCGTGCAATTCTAGAAGCTTAACGTCCCTATTTTCGCAGTCAGAGTATCCCCGATGAATACGTATCACGATCGATCTCGGATCCGGTGGAAAAAGCGGGGAATTTAGCGTTCGGATCGAAGACGGCAGGCTGGATAGAGATCAAGGTGGGCTTGCATAACCGAAAACGGGTCGATCGTTGGCTCGTTTCCGCGCGTTCGCGATAAAATCCAGGTGACTCGGAATCGATCATGCGAGCGAACGAACGCGAGCAAGAAAATCGGAAGCGAAAAACCGCGAATCGTTTGCCGTGGGCACGATAATAGCGCGATCGTTGATTCTACCGACCGCGAACCGATCGATTTTTAACCGATCGATCCTCGGGAAGAACGACTCACCGTGCTTAATTACACGGTATCGGGGATAGCGACGATAGCATCGACCGATCGGAGCTCGTGCAGAGGTGATAATTGCCGGGTACGTGACGTTTGACAGACCAGTGCGTATTCCGGGAGCGATGCAAGTTTGCTACCGATCGTTCAACACACGCGGTATGATCGATTCTGTTTGGACTGCGTAACGCTCTAATGATCGGTTTCAATTACGCGACAGCGTTTGATATTAATTGGTACCGTGAACGATGCCTGTGCAAAGGATAGCATAAGCTTAGGCACATAATTCGATCTGCCATCGAAGCGACCTTCCACCGAAACACAGACCTGTCTACGGGATCGAGATGTCGATGGAACGGATCGAATCCTTCGAGAATCCCTGAACTAGCGAAAGGCTAAGGCAACACGCGAGACACGATCGTTCTAACAGAGAACTCGATAAACTTGACGTCGTACAACTCGCAGGACTGGGAATTGGAATAATAAACGCAATAACGATCCGATCGGTGTCCCTCGCTCTCTATCCCGGTGAGAAATATCGTTTCGGTGGTTCGCCGCGAAATCGTATAAAGTGGAACGATCGAGGATTGGTCGTAGACACACGTAGGAGAAAAAGGAGAAACGGACGAAAAAGCGATAAGAACCGCGACGGTGCTAGCGGAGCGCGGAACCATCGCGCGGACTGTGGGAAAACGATCGACTCCGGTGAAAGAAGGCCCATCGAGGTTGTAAAAAGCGTTAAACTCGTGATTAGACGCGGATTCGCGCATGCCCTTGCTCGCGTCCGATTCTCCTTTGTGTCCAGCATCCATCGTCGCCGATATCCTCCCGGCCGTGGTGCCTTTTTCCCCGCGTTTTTCGCGCCCGCCCCCGGGATCGGTGATACCCGATCCTCCCCCTGGCACGAGTTCGGTCCACGTCGCCGGATGGAAAAAAGCCGCGATGACGAGGAACGATTTTCGAGCCGTTCAACGCGATCCGCAAACCGTGACGATCCTTAACAGGTTTGATTTAACGCTTCTTTCCAACAGACAATCGGCTCGCAGCGTGTGTATCCCGATTTCTGCCGAGCAATTTCCCGTTCACATTAGTCCACGTCGCGTCCGCGCGTTTCGTTCGAATAATTGCGCGGCTGTCGGGCGAGTTAACGCGGTCTCGGGCTATCAAACGATCCAATGATCGCATAAACTTGCTCAGAATGCCACCGTGTGGCGTAGAGACACTGCGTCTAAAGGCTGTGTAGCTATTAACGCGTAAGATATCGGGTCCCACGGAAGTCCTTGGCGATACCGAGTGTTCTGGATGAAGGAGTTCGCGGTTGGTCGCTCGTTCCTGCGAGTGTTCATAGGTACACGGTGTGTAACAGGAGCAAATTGGAGTCGCTTCCGCAACCCTTTTCCCCGGTTCATTCTCCGTGGTTGGCTTTAAATATCGGATTAATAGCGAACACTCGCCTGTTTAGCATCGGTGATTGTAATTTACTGGTCGCCGCAGGTAGACACGGCTAGAGCACGCTCGTGAGGAACTGTTAATTGCTGGTCAAAAGTAGGAAATGGAATCGTGTGAGGACGATACCACGGGCCGTTAAGTGCTAAGTGTGTCGTTTAGATATTCGATATCCTCCCGGTGATACCGACGCGTCTCCGGCGCCCACAAATTAGCTCCGCGAGCGGCCATTTATCGCGACGGAAGGGAACGATAGGCGAGAACGTTTTATTAACTCATTGGACCAACGACACGAGCGTTTTCGAAAATTCGACGAGTAAAATTGAAACGCTATCGGGACGTAGGTCGCGGGATTAGATTTAACGAGCCATGTACAAACGCGGAGAAAAAAGAGAATGAAAAGGAGCGGGTCCTAACGCGGCGAGTTGCCGGGAATCGCGTCACGAGGAGGAACGTTGATTGGCGAAGCGGTAGAATGTCGGTCGGTCCGCTCCTTTCATCCTTATTACGTCACCTTTTTCGTATATCCAATTTTAGTTTCGCCGTCGAGCAAAATCCCGCGGAATCTCGCGTAATTCCCGAATCGCTTCACGCTTCTCGAAAATCGTCAAACCTTTGTATCGTTTACAGGTTGGACGGGTAGCATTCGCAGCAGTGGTCCAAACGCTGCAAGCTCCCGAGAGACTGTTCACCGGGAAGGAAGCTATCCTGGAGGGTCAGCGTTTCCTCGCACGGTTCTCGACCTCCGATCGAACCCGTTCCGATGTCGCTGTTACACGGGTGAGTTTCATCCAGGGATTTTCCAAGTGGACGGCAAAAAGCCGAGCGTATTTGAGAAATTTATCGCACGTGCTCGCGGTGGGTAGCCGAGGTGAGAAAAGGAGGATCGTAGCGAGAGACGGGGACAGGGGAAAAAAGACGGAAGAAGTAGTCTGAGGCACGTAGCGTGACCCAAACCCGTGACAAATTCATCGTGTCACGCTGTCTCACGTGTTCCGGGGATCGTGGACCACCGACGGGGCGATAGAACGCAACGCAATCGTGACTCTGGTCGTTGATATAATTTAGAAGTAGAAGAAACGCGGCCATTAACGCGCCATTAACGGGTCCGATCATGCGTGACTCCCTCCGTTGGTTGGCGTTTGAAAAAAAGCAGCCTCGAAGAACACGAAGCATGTAGATCATCCTTCGCGATGATCCCCCCGCTCTGATTTACGACTAGGCTTTTTCCTTTGCTTTTTACCCCTTTCGCCAGTCTCCAATTAACCCTTTAACGCTGAAACTCGTCGCGACTTCTTACCGACGGAAATTAACACCGATGCAGCTACATCGACGCGATATAAGCACTGCGAGCCAAGTCGCAGGTAACGTGTGCTAGCAAAGGTGCGGAGGGTCGAAGGGCCAAGGACGCACCGCGATATTATTCTTCCCTTTACGACCCCGAATTTGTTCCTCGTTCATTCAAGTTTCTCCAAACGTCGCGGAATCCCTCGTCCATCTTGCTCGTTAATCATTCGCTGTGCCTGAATGGTCCTCCTGAACCGTTGCACGCGCAACCGGACCGCCATTCCAGCTTTATCTCCCTCCGATATCGTCGGACGCGTCAACCATCGATCAGTCAATCTCTCATCGGATCTGGGAGTCCCATAGATGGTAGTCCGGGACGCGTTGACCCGCTTCCAAATTCCAGATTCGACGTGGCTGTGGTCGTCCCGTCGTCGTCGTCTCTCTGTCGAGTGATTCCGAAACGGGCACCTCTGGTGTCGGTGTCGCTGTTCCAGAGGCAACCGGGCCGGGTTATTCGAGCGGAGCGAAACGGTCCGTGGTGGAGCAAATACCGACGGGGTTGAGACAGGGGCATATAGGATCGATACATCATGGGTGCTCAGCGGGGGTCGTCGGATACCATCTTAGTTAGCATCCTCGAATAGACGCGTACGTAGCGAGCTCGACCGAGCTCAGCCTCGTCATTATATCCCTATCTGCTTATCTGTATCGGTCCAGTATTCACGAAGCTGAGCTCGAGCTTTCGAAAGCACGCGGGAATTATCCACTTCTCGTAACCAGGATCGCTCTATTCCGCTATCCATGACGCGTAACGGGGTTAACGAGGAGCTTACGCGGTTTACGAGTGGGAACGGATGATAGTCGGAGGATCGTGGTAAATTCCGACATATGCACGTATTCGAGGACAGTCGGGATCAATGGATAACAGGAAAACGTTTCGCTGGGGCACGAGTGTGAGAAGGTATTTTGGTAGCTGGAAAAGTGGCTGAAACGAATTCGATGAAACGATTAGACGGAAACACGAGCAACCCTCGTCTATTCGCTGCTATTCCTTCGCGGGTTATTACGAACGAAATTTTACGAGAATGTATTACACACGCACGAACATCTTTCTCTGCCTTCTTATCCCCTTAATTCCAAGTTGTACGAGTACGGTGTGCGTTAAGTACGAGTCTTCGGCGCAAGATGCCAGAACATCGCGAGGATAACTCGTGCCTTGCGCGTTTTCTGCTTTCACGAACACCGCTCCCGTTGTTATCTCACTTCCTGCAGTTGCTCGCTATTTATATCCAACACATTTATTAAATCTTGGGAATTAATCGCGAGGAAAACACGCGAATTTAAAAAGACGGAAGCCGGGCTAGGCGCATCTGATAATCCGTTGCGCCACCCGCCATTTTAGTCTCTCCGCGAGGAGAACCGTGTTTGAGAACTTTGCATTCCCTGAAATACGTCCCGCCATTGTCTCTTGACACGCTTGTTAAGGTCTGTTTACATAGCCGCGACAAGTCGGACAGGAACGTACGAGTAAACAAAGAATTTGCACCGGCAATCTCGTCATCTCTTTTCCTTCGTTCCAATTAGAAACTTACGAAAGATTCGTAAGAACCCTCGTACGCGATACTGAAACCGCGCTAGCCGCGTGGACCACCGTGGTTTCGCGATATTTAACGCGGTCGTTTACTCTTCCAAGGCTAATTCGTTTTAATCGAACCCGGACGATCTTCGTTCGCGTACGTTACACGGACCGACCGTGTAAACGCGGCCTTAAGCTCGCGCGTTTACCGTCGCGATGCTTGTCGCACCGTACGCTTTATCGCGAGGCGCATTGTGCGACGTCTCGTGGCACATATTACAGCACTTGCGAAACACTTCCGCCTGTTCGACGAGTTTGCTAATTCTGCTCCCATTTTTCCCGGTTTTAAGAAACGGCGCGATATCGTTGCTGCGATTCCACGGCGAACAGTCACCGTGCACCGGATCGGCGGTTTCGAAAGGCGAGGATTCACGAGGAGAATCGTACGCTTGAATCAATTTCGTCATCGGGCCAAGTCCGGTATCTGTTGGCTGGAAAAGTTGCAACAACCGTCCCAGAACATTCCGCGTCCCAGACAATTACGGGCATCGATCGGCTCGGTTACGCCTACGATCGTTCTCGTTACAAAATCATCGGTCAGCGAGATTAACAAAGGGTTCGGAAACTGTTTTATCTGTTCCCGATCTGGGCTGGCAATAAAAGTGCATCGGGGCCCCTTCGAGATAGCACAGAAAATCTCCGCGATACCCTTTCTTACGTCTGTAGGTCGTCGTGTCGGGCTGCTCGATATAAAACGATCGTCGATCGAAAATTAACGGAACGATCCGGCACGGCCACGCTCTCGATCCGGTAATCGGCTCGTTACGTAAAAATACCTTCCTTTCTCTTCTTCTTCTTCTTCTTCTTCCCCGTCTTCTTCTTTTTCTTCTCCTTCTTCTTCTTCTTCCACCGTGGCTCGAAGCCGAGCTTCGAAAACGGTATCGGTGTACATAAATTACGGATATCCCCGTGTACGTATAATGCTCATAATTGCCTGCTAATAACAAGCATGTAAGTTATACAAATCATTATTACCGGCTTGTTAAGCGTCTTTCTCGTAACGAACTCTCGTTATGTCTGTATATCGTCGCGGTTTTCGCCATGCTTTCTAATTACCTTAATGTCCATCCTCCGGATAAACAGACACGGGCTGCGTAACGCGTCCACAGCCTTTTTCCCGCCATTCCATCCATCCAAATTACAATCTCGCGTTAACGATGACGACTGGAAAAAATGATCGTTCATCGACTAACGGATAGAATGTAACGCAAATCTCGGGAAAAGACAGCTCGTAAATATGCCTCGTAAATGGCAGGAAGCTATTTCCCGCATAGGTCAGCAGCTACCCGAAAAGCCCGGATAAACTTCACCCGTGACCTTCTCTTCGCACTTGACTGGCCGCGCGAAGATTACCGATACCGCTCCATAAACCGATGCTCGTTCTCGCCTCTCGGCTCTCTACACCTGTACTATCCGACACACGGTACACGCGGCAGCACCGTGGCGAAAGAAGAAGCGATGGAGCCGCGACGCTTGGTTCGCGGAATGAAAGCTGCCCGGCGAGCGCGTCGATCCCGCTCGATAACGCCGTTTCGTCGCGAGCGAAAACGTCTGCACGCGTTGTTCCCGACACGGTGGCAAGAACCCACATCAGCGGCTCATTTATTCAGTCGGTGGACGTGGAAGTCGCCTACCAGCGTGGCCCCGTTCCACCCTCTTCTTCGCCGTCTCCGTCTCGGAAGCCTCGCGACGAAGGGGACCAGGAGCCAGCGAGACGTGGCTCATTACGCGGCACGGTCCTCTTTTATTGTTCATTACGGTAATGAGCGGCCCTGCCTGTTGCATTTCGGATTAGCCGGGCGATCAATTAGCAGCGGCCACGACAGGGGTAGGTAACCCGAAACTGGAAAATAAATAAAAGCCGAAGGAAGGGGTTACGTCTTACGGTGGACGCGCGGGCAGGGTGGGAAGATCGGTGGACTCGGGTTAGGGCCTTGGCTATATAATCGGCACCGAATTCGAGAGAATGCGAGACACGTGTATTAATTTCACGGGACGGCTCGTAAAACTCGTGCCTTTACGATTCTAGCGCAGATACCGGCGTACGTTGGCTCTCGGCTGAACGTCGGCCAGTCAGACAGGTAGGTACAGGTTGGTACAGGTAGAGGTGTATCCGATACGCTGCCCCGAACGTTTATTTAAAACACCTTTTCCAGCGGGGCTCCGTGAGTAATATTACTACGTGGATACTCGGGGATCTTCGTTTAGTCGCCTTCTTTTCTTTATTTCTTCCCTTTTTCTTCCCTCTCTGCCCCCCCTCCCCCTCCCCCCGCCTCCTGCTCTTTGCTTCCTTTCCTTCTTTTCTCGCACCGGGTTTTTTGCTTTTCGGCGAGGCTTCGAGCAGGCGAAGAGGAGGTAATGAGCGGCGGTGTACGATTCGCGGGGTGGTAGGGGTCGTTGGCCTTTTTCTCGCGATATTTTCAGGTGTATTTACATCCGAGTGTCGTTAAGCGTAACGCGATACGATGGCAGGCAAACTCGCAGAAAATTCCGATCGAAAGCAAGAGCAGAGAAACTAGCACTCGCAGTCCTGCCCTCCGAGCACATCCATCTTGGTTTTATCGCTAGAACTACCGACCTGTAATGCGTACTTAAATATATTATACACCAGGTGATTAATAATCTCTGATTGTAATTAAGGCGGTTTGATGAAAATAAATAGGTCCGTATAATCGCGCTTCCATCTCGATAAAAGCAAACGTTAATTCTGTCCGGGGCCATGTTTATATTAATCGCGCGAGCAAAAAGTCGCGGATAGTTCTAGTACCGGGAATTATTTAATTTGTACCCGGCAAATGAATTTCATCATTCATTCGAACACGTTTCCTTCACGAGCTACTTCCTCCCGAGACGTGCCTCTCGCACGACTCCTCGCGACAATATATTATTCCAATTTACCCGATAAGCGCGAAATGCCAGTCGCTTGCCACTAGATTAAAGCTCCAGCAGCGATCTAGCCCCGGACAAAAAGGGTGGAAAACAGGCAAGCTTTTTCTCCTCTTACATCCGATATCCAGCGGAAATTATCGTGCCGGGTCGATTTTCAAAACAGTTATAATTCCCCAGTGTACGTTCTTGCCGCGTTGTTTTACGCCCGTTCCGATCGTTCCTCCGCGTCAACGTGCCAGCCGTGTCCGTCGAAACGGTCCCGGCCTCGTGAGAACTCGTCGATCGAAATCCGGGCCGTTTCTTCCTGCCGGCTAATCCGCGTCACGAGAAGGTGGACGCGTCGTCGCGTCGTATACGGTAGATCGCGCTGTTTTATCGCCAATCTCTCTCTTTCTCAGCCGTCCTCTGGGAGCGTTCTTTTTCGTCGCGCGTTTCGCGCGCGCCTTCTTTACGACGCCAATTACTCGGCCATCGATGGAACGGTTGCCGAGTATCGACGAGTGGGTTCCCGTTACTTCGGCAGGCAATCTTGCAGTCCGACCGTCGATTTGCCCTCGAAATCGAATCGAAGCCGCCTCGGCTTCCCGCGCTCCTCCGTCTGTTATGTCAATAACAGTAACCGCGATCGAGCGCGATCGGACGGCTAAAGGAGACCTCGGCGTGTAAACGATCGGTAATCGTGCCTTATCGCGCGATTAGGTTTCGTGTAGGAATTTTTATTTCGTCCCAACTTTTTAATCACCGCTCCATTTGAACGCAGTCGGTAGCATAACTCTCCGTTCCCCGGGCAGTGCAGAGACCAACTCATCGACTAGGGTTTAATAGCCGTGGATCGACGGAGGAGGATTTTAAAAGTTTCCTCGGGAGATCCACGCAACTAATATCCCATCCTCCGAGTCCCCAGGGTTCATAAATATGGAAGCAAAATCGTCGGAACCGAAGGTAGTTTAGCTGCCCGATGCTAGCGCCATTCGATGCATTCTCATTACCATCCCGTACGATTAACGCGTTTCCTATGCTCCGTAACGTTCCCGAGCGGTCCGAGCGTCGGTTAATCGGATGCAGAGCGTAATGAAGAGAAACTCGAAGATCAATCTCGGCGTTCACCGTTGAAACCCGTTTCCTCCCCACTACTCGGCCATTGTCTAATTTATTCGAATGATCGTGTAAAGACTATCTCGTATAACGTGCACCTGTAAACGCGAAACACCGACCGCAGGGAGGGCCCAGCCCGGGGAACACGGGTACCACAAAGCGTCCTACTAATAACGCCGCGATCGGACTCGTAAAAGCTGCCGAACGAAAACCGGGTCCGGCCGATTCGAGGCCTCGAGATGCCCTTCCTTTTTCTCCTTTTCGTCCGTCTTTTTCTCTTCCACCCGGTTCCATCCTCGACCTCCGCCGACCTCCTCGACGTTTCATCCGAGTGGACCCACGCCTCGAGAGTGATCTTTCGATCGCCGGCTCCAATAAATGCAATTAATGATCTGTCACGTTTGATCCTGGCCCACCGATCGTTTCGGGTTCTGTTTCAGCCACCCGGCCGCATAGAGATTTCGATACACGTGGGCTGACGGTTTTGTGGAGGCCAGAACGATGAATTTCGTGGCGACCGAGACGTTTCGAAGGCGGAGGAAGAAGGTGGCAGCTCCGCATGGTCCTTTTGCGTCACAAAAAGATCCTCCAGGTCGTGTTTCGCGATTCGTCATCGCGATGCTTCGTGGATCCTCCGGATCCTCGATATCGGACCGATCTAATCGACGCCTCATTAAGGATCTACCAACGGCGCTGGTCAACGTGCAGCGTTGGCCGCAGTGGTTCTCATTGCCAGCTCGGCTGCTCGTCGCTGTTGAAGGTAACGCGAAATAATCAATCGACAATCTATTATACCATAACTTTCGTCTCGTGGACCGTCGAAGTCTCTGTCGCGACTTCCGCTACCTCGAAGAAACTATTCTACGATCGAATCGAGCAAACTTGGTAGGAAATTAAAGACCAAGATTCGAAAAATTATCCCTCGAATGGTGGATAAAAATTTCCTCGATCCTCGTCGCGTGTTCGCGAAACGGGTTAAATGAAGCAGATCTACCGTTTCGAGGCATCATTTACATCTGACTCGCGATTTATGCCACACTGTTCCCCCTCGATCGTACCTAGAGAGCATCGTTATTTTAGTCCGGTTTGCTCCCGATCGACTGACGATCGTCGTGACGCGTAAATCCGGGAAGACAATCGGCACTTTTGGCGCACGTAGCCGCGCAACAGAGGTTCAACGTCCCCCCGTAATTACCACGAAGCCAGCTAAAGACAGACGACATGTAGCTGTCGAGCGAGAACTGCGGACCGAACGGTCACGTAGCGACTGAAGAAGGTGGGAATCGAGACGATTGCGAAACGGCCGATCAAGGGCCATCGTGGTGGGGGATGGAAAAAATTGGCGGGCAAAGAAAAGCAGAAAATCCATGGAAAAAGTCGCTCTCGAAATAGAAGGGACGAGTCGATCGAAACGATCGATGGGTAATTACGAGTCCCCTCAGCGGGCAGACTCGTTCTCCCGATTCCCTCTTTCTTCCATTCGCTTCTGCCGCCGTTTCTTCTTTCCCTCGTTGCAGCCGATAACCGTGCCACCTACCCCGATGAATTCCGGCCAGCGGATGCGAAACATGCCCACCGAGGGGCCCATACCTCGCACGATAGCTCCTCGTCCACGCAGCGAGTTCGTTTCGTTCGCGAAACGCGCGTGATTCGGCATTTTCTTCCGTTGTTTATCGCGTCTGCATATAAACTGCGACTTCTACCAGTCTCGTATTTAAACTTTCGTATACTGTAAATTACCACGTTGCGCGTTATATTTTACTTCCAAATGTGTATTATTTCGTACGCGCGATTCTGCTTTCCACGTCGAATTTCGCGTCGTCGAATTTCGAGTGCTATAAATTTCAAAAGGCAGCGTCGCTACGAATCGGTGGGAGTACAGGAGAAATTACCCGTTGAAACAACCCGTTTCAGAGAATCGAAAAGGACCAATGATCTTACGCGATAACGTCCGCCCACGCGATGGATCACAGTCAACGCTTCGGGAGCTAAACAAATTGGGCTATGAGATATTGCCTCGGTATTCCTACTTGCCTCGCCTGTCGCCAACATATTATTCACGCTTTGTTAGAAATATGACGCGTTGCATAGATAATACTTCGAAGAATTTGGTAACTCCCTGATATCAGATTTGATCAAAATCCCTCGGGAAAATGTGACACTTGGTATCTACAGATCACAATTTAACGACGTAACCAGAGACATTATTCGACTCTAGATATATCTAAGATTATTACAGCTTTCCATGCGACTTGGAATTTAGAATTATTTCCATAACTGTCGTATATTTCCATTTCCGACGTTGGTATTTACAACTCCGAGCACCGAACTACCTCATTATCATGCGGTAAAATTGCAGAACTTTTTCGAAGACGAGAGAGTTACTTTTATTAACTTCCCTCTGGTAAGTACACCGTACACTCTGCGATCCAATTAACCAAGAAACTATAATTTTTCGGAATGGCGATTTAACGCGCGAACATGGTCGAGTACAAAGATCGCTAGAGATCGGTGGAAACAGCTCTCGGGCATGGCTGCTGCTACCTCGCTTGGAGCTAGCACGGTCGCAGGTCCCTGGCCGTGTTATATCGCGGAGTAACGCGTTGCGAAACGTCCTCTTGCAAAATCAGATAAACCTGACTCACCCAGGCTGGCGCTCGTCAAAACGCGATATTTTCGCGCGACAACGCCTTCGAGACGACGACACCTGGCTGTCTCCCACGAGGGCCAGCTCACGCCAGTCCTCGTTTCAGTTTCCCGTATCCCGTCGTCCGGTTTTCCACTTTATTTTTTCCCCATCGCGCCACGCCGGCCAATAATCGTAACATCTCCGTCAGGAATTCCAGAGAGCCGTGCGACTAGCCTCGTCTCTAATGAGAAAGCTGTCCACCGGCCGCTTCCACGCGAGCTCGAAAGCGGCCACCTTTCCTCGTCCTTCCGACCAGTGTGAACGCTCGGCCACCTACCAGATGATTCATGCTCATGCCCATCCACGTGGAAAACGAGCCGAGGAGATCCAGCGCGATCGGCGCGCGCGGATACGCGCGTGTACAGCGCCTGTGACACGGATCCGGTCGACGACGGAGCCGCCTTTTCCCCTCGGGCACCGCGTAACAGGCCCTGCCATCCGGGAAACTTTGGAAAAACGCGTCTTTCGAACGCGCACCGTTGAAACTACTCGGGTCGAGGCTGGGTCGTTACGGTGGCTTGATACGCCAAGAGATACTGATTAGTGCGACGAGCAATTAGTCGCGATGACGGTAATGTTTCCTTATTGTCGCGAACGCCACGAGGACAAGCTGATGGCAGCTGCGCTAGATTACAGGGTGGCCGCTTGTCTGCGTGATTACGTAAGTTTCTCTCAGGCTACGGAAGATTTACCTGGAACCGTGCGACACTCGTCCGCCTCTCGGTCGTTTCTCGCGGAGAAACGGAAACGCGCCGCGTACGGATCGTAATTTTTTCGTAATTTGGTTGAAATCGAGATTACGAGAATTTTATTCCCGGCTGGAATTAACCCTCCCACTTGTTCACGGTAACGATAGCTTTCACGTTCGATGTACAAACGGCAAACTGCCAGTGTCCGCTTACATCGTGGACCCATTGGTTTTGGTGTTAAAAATAGTAATAGCAGGATCTCGATCGGTCCCGATTACCGAGATCGTGTTCACGAAGGATGAAGGCTGTAACGCGTACGCCGGCCGAAATTTCGCCGCGGCGTCGGCGTGCCCGGGCCTAATTTTCGTCCATTCGAGAGAGGCGCCCGATAAGAATTATCGTATTAGCAACCGAGCGGTCGTTCAATCGAGATAAACACGGGGGACAAGCGAATGGAATAAATAGCAATCGGCGGGACTCTCTGATCCGACAGTCTGTCGCTCGTTCCGCTCGTCGGAACATCTGTCGCCACTCTTTGTCGAATGATTCCAGTTGGAACTTCCAATTAACTTCTGTAAACAATTATATTCATACCCACGTCCTTGTCCAATCGCTATTCTTCCTTTCATTTCTCGATTTTTCCATTTTTCTAGCTAGATCGGTCGGAAGTTGGATCGGTTAACGATGGCCGGAGCGGTCGCGGCGGGACAAAATGGCGCGGAACAGGGTCGAGGACATAGCCTCGGGACAAGCAGCGTTCGATTCTTTCAGTGGCGAGCGCATCGCTGGGATTCCTGTTGAATGGAATTCCTCGATGCATCCTGCGAGGTCGGGTTTCGTTACCGAGTTACGAACGCGAAGGTCGCCGCTTCTCGTCTCGAGGATACGCTTGTGGGATCGCGTTTAATCGTTTAACCGTGGGTTAAGCGGTTTATATTTACGAACGATACTCGTTCCAGTGAATCATCGACATCGGGTATTGAATCAGCGTTGCATTCGACCGCTGACGAAGCTGACTTTAACGCTTGCGAAACGTTGCAATATTTCATCCACTGGATAATCAGGTATATCGAAGGGTTCTCTTTTATCTATCCGCTTCATTATCAACGCGGTCTTTGTAATATCTCTTTTCCTTAACAGGTGCTTTCATTTGGTCGCATCCGACGGCCAACGAAATACTTCTGTTGGAACGCAGCGTGGTCCGGAACGTAAGACACGAACAAGCCATTTTAATTCAACAACCAACCATTCACCAACACCTGGACAAGCTTCCTGTCCGGCGAGGAAACCCGTATACACTCGGGACGAGTCCGAACCGGTGGTCGTTTGACGTCGAATTACACGAAAACATCGCGGCAGCCTGTTGCTCCGAGCGATCTCGGGCCTTGGAGGGATCGACGATCGTCCCTGGTCGTCTTTTTGATCGGCGCGTTGCGTCCAGCGTCCCAGGGGCGGTCGTGTCTCGTCAACGGGCCACCGGGATGGCCGGTCGAGAGGTAACGACCCGCGGGGTCACAGGAGGATCCTGCCGAGCGCGAGGCATTCGCGACGAGCGTTGCTCCACGTCGAGGGGGAGAGCTCGCGCACGCCGGAGTCGCGCCTCGAAGATCGTGGACGAGCGCGGAGGAAGATTCGGCGGCCGATCGTTGCGGAGGGAGGAAAAAGGAGATGTTCGGCGAAGATTCGATCGGTGGTCCCGGTTCTGACCGTCTGTCCGTGGCTGTTCGCCGAGGGATCGTCGACTAAGAAGGCCCGACCTGGCCAGGATCACCCTCGTGCTCTCGTGCGCCGCGCGTAACCCTGTCTTTCTGCGTGGCCCATGGTAGTCGTGTGACCGTGTGTTGGTAGGCGAGGAGAAGTTCCGTGTGCCGTGGCGTACCTTGAATGGTAGGGAGGGGAAGGTAAGGTGCTATGCGAAGGAGGACAGACGTCTCGCGATCGGCAGAGGTTAGAGAGAGAAAGGGCCAGAGAGCGAAAGAGGAGGAGAAGGAAACGCGACGGTGGAACAGGTAGAAAAGAGGCGGACAAAGGACGACTCGTACGAGGGGAAGGGAGAAGAAAGATCGGCAGCTCTCGAAGAGATGCCAGAGTTCTCTCTCTGTGTTCGAAGGAGAGTGGACGCTGGCAAGCCTCGATGGACCACCTACCGTTCCTGATCCGATCTTCGTAACGCTCGTCCGTCTGTCCGTCTGTCCGTCCGTTCGTTCGTTCGTTGGTTCGTTCGTTTGTGTCTCGCGCGTGGGGTACTCCTTTGCTCGGCGTCGCCCCGGCCCCGCTGTTCCCATCAATAACGCTTATAATGTCTAATTAATCACGAATTATCTAGATCCTGGGGCTGAAAATCGGAGAAAGCCGGCACGTCGACGCGGATTGGCGGGCCGTGCCGACCCGGGTCGCGGATGTGTCAATAGAGGTTACGGAGTAGAGGGTACCCTGGCAGAAATTCGTGTACGCTATTTGTCGAGTCGGCCAGTGGAACGATGAAATCGTCGACCAGAGACGGCCGGCCACTTTCCAGCCGCGTTATGTAAGCGATTAATTAATCGTCTCGTTAAGAGGCCACGACGCGTTGGGTACAGCGCCGGGATTAGCCCCTCGAATCATTAATTTTCCCGTATTTAAACGCGCCTCGTTTCGTGGATTACCTGCCTTTTCCAGCCCGGCCACGAATGATTTACGAGCGTCTCGCCGGTGAAGTCGATTGAATCGAATTCGAGTGGCCGATGAACACGTATCTAACCGTGGGCACCGGTGGAATCATTGTTCGACCTTACCTACGCCTCCCTCGCCATCCACCTTCCACCTCGGATGGATATTCACGAGAGGTAGAACGACCGGCTGACTCGATGTGCAACAATAAGCGCCACTGCGTGCCGCGTTTGTAGCCAACAAGCCTGTTCACCGTGGCCAATTCCCGCTGAATGATAACACGTAGGAGGATGCCTACGCGGTACACGCCGCTCTTAGACGTTCACCAGACGACAGGCTAATCCCCGACCGGCCAGGGCCTGTCCCGTCGCTTTCTGCGAACAAAAGCCACGGAAATTCGTAGTCGTATCCCTGTCGCGATTCCTTTTATTCGCCCGGTCCCGGTATAATTACGTTGCCGTTTAATCGAATTCGCCTTACCGTCGTCACGGTCTACGATGCACCGGGGTTTAACCGATTAATGAAGCAGCGTTATAGGTGAAACACAGCTTTATCTGGAATATCGTTCGCTACCCTGCGTCGTGCTTTAGGTTTTCAGCGACGAGTGGAAGGAATTGATTTACGAGGGTTACTCGAGAATTATCCACTTCTGAAATCGGACGGGCGTATAATTTCGTGGTAACTCTCTTGACCTTATATTTTGCATCTAACGTATAAGCATATTCCAATCTTTACCTTTTTAGCTATTACACGACCTCGCACCTCGACTCGGGGAAAAGTACATTTAAAAAGGATCCTAATCGTCGAGGATTAATCGCGATGGAGGAAATCCTGTCGGAACCTTGGTCTCGACCGATCTCTAACCCCGAATTCCTGCGTCGAGACGTATCCCGTGCAACGGCTCGGCTGTGAATCGTACCGAGGCATCGGATTCGTCATCGCGGGGTAGAAGAAAAGAATCGGAATTGGTGAGTGGTCGGAAAACGTGCTAAAAGTTCCCAGGGATCACCGCCGGCTTGGCATTGACGTTGAGAAACGCGACGAACGGGGAATAAAACCGGCCAGGTATCCGGCGGTCCAATTAAATCTGTAGCATGTATCACGGTTATAGAGAGCGCTTTTTTGTAGGCATTCGGGATCACGCTAGGCGGTCCAAGAAGGCCGTTCCCGTGCCTAACACCGTGGAATCGACGCAACACGAAAGGCGGATTGCTTGGCTGCTCCCCGGCCGCGTCCGTTGCGCTGTCTTGTGTTCGGCCAACGGAGGTGACGATAAAAAGGGAGCAACGAGAGGGAACGAAGAAAACGGGAAGAAAAAGGGAAGCCCGGGGAGCAAAATCGACGAAGAAAAAGGAGGATCGAGACGAGAAGGTGGAGAGAATGAGAGAGAGAGAGAGAGAGGGAGAGAGGGAGAGAGAGATGGAAGGAGAAAAAAAGAAAGAGGTATGAAAGTTAATAGAATAAATGACACGCTCGTGGTGGGTATCCAGGATCAATGTCGATCGCGGTGCGTGTCGAATCGTTTCGAGAATTAAATTCGTTCTTTCGTAGCGTGCTCGACCGTGTTGACTCGTGGTGGCTTTTATTTTTATTCCCTCTCTCTGTCCGCTTCTATCTCCTGCTCTCTCGTTCCCTGGACCGATCTCGCGCTGGCTCGTAAAATCGGCCGAAGGGAGAGGCTGAAAGCTGTTCGCGTTCCTCGCTAATTTCTCGCTGCTCGAATATGAGAGTTTTATTGAAGCCGTTCGATCGTCGAACGCTGCGAGATATCTCGTTGTAATTGGCCCCGGTCGAGCGGCCGAACGGCGTCGCTTTTCATTTTATCGCGAGGAACCGGTTGTCACCGATGGGCGATCTTCGCGGCGTTCGCTGATCGCCTCGCGGCGGGCCACCGTTAACGCGCGGATACGCGCGGATACACGCGGTTACGGGAAAATTAATCGAGAGAGGAGTGCGTAAAGTCTGGTGCGAGTTCGTCTCTCGTGGCTTTATTAATCGGTCGGTTTACAAGGCGCCGGTTAATCGGGGCGCTCCATCTTCATTCCAACCGAATTTAATCGAATCGAATCGAATGGAATCGAATCGGATCGGATCGATCGGATTGGACGCGGCGAGTCCTCGCGACGAACGTAATTCCATCGAGGGCCCCCGCGCGCGAGGCAAGCGACGAACTGGCCCTTTTTACGATCCAGACGATCGTGAGAGAAGAAAAAGGAAAGCGGAGCGTAAAAAATGAGCGGTTACGGGATTCAGGGAAACAAGGGGCATACGTATAGGTGGGTAAGCGAGGGCAGCGGTGTTACAAGATTGAAGAGCAGTTCTCGGCCCGAGGCCGATATAGTGTTTGTACTACATCGTCTATAAATCCGAAGCACCGCCTAACACCTAACCCCATTATAAAAGTTGCAGTCATAAAAGCTTGCTCTTGCACCTAACATGTCCGCCATTATTATTTAATAGTCCCATTATTGTAATTGATAAGTAGTCGTCCGACCCCGGTTCGAGCTGTTACGGCAAACACGTTTTATTACGTCGACTGTTACGCCGAGTCGGATGGAAAGAGAGGCAGAGACCGCTGCCCTCTTCTTACCGTCCCCTTAATGAACAAAACTGCTTAACGCCGGCTTGATAAGAAGTCAAATTATCCCCGGCCTCTTAGAGGTAACCGCCTCCATCGGCTTCGTTCCGTTCCCCTTTTGCAAGTACGTACGTTGCGTACAGCACCGCGAGCTCCTTATAAATACCCGTTTAATTATGTTGATCTTTAACGGTCCCAGTTTTATCGGTGTTCCTCCCTTTAACAGGCCCTGCAACCCGGGAACGGGAATCACGTTGATTTTACATGCGCGGATATATACCATTAAGTCGGAAATTATCACTGATTACGTTATTAGAGCCATTACCTCGCGCCTTCCACGCGATATCGACAGCCGTTATCGGCTTGCTTCTTTTACAATGTTCGTTACACGATCTCGATCCCCTGTAATTGCTTTATTGGTTATTATAATTACGAACGCGTACGCGCGTGTCCGGGGATATTCGTTCACTCGTATTACGTGAAAATTGTCGCGTGCCTGGAATTAACTCATCCGACTACCTGTTCCCAACCTTCCAGCCATCCACCACCGGCGAAACTTTAATTCATATAATTACCAGTAGACCCAAGTGACGCGTCGCGAAACGTGTTCCTATCCCCGGACTCACCCTTCCCGAATCGAACGAGGAAGAAATTATTTACGATCGATCGATTTACATCGGATATACGCGATCTCTCTGCTTCCAAGACTTCGAGCGTCAGACTCTAGGCTTTTCTCTATTAATTAACCGTATCACGCAGAAACGTTGAACACGCGCGTGTTCAGCGCGTCGCTATTCGATGGATCGCTACAAAAAGATGGAACGTAAACGAGTAAACGCTGTCAGAAGTATACACCTGCCACGCGCGAGTAACACCGATACATACGTCCACGCGAGTCGTAAATGTCGCGATTACGATATCTATGATCGCATCTCGTGTAGCCTGCTCTCGCGCATCGAAATCTCAACGTCTCTAAATCCTCATCGGACACGGGGCTAAATAATAGAAATAGATGGAAATAAATAATTAAAACGGAAACGACGATGAAATAAAAGCCTAGAAGCTTAATCCCGTCGTGAGACGCGATTCCTCCGAGACGTTCAGGGTATCGCGAATTAAATTCGGTTTAACGGAAACCGCTTCCGACCTCGCGTTCGCCCCCCGTGCACCGAGGCTGGAAATATAATCGGAAATTTCGCGGAGAATGCCGGCTGTCCGCGTCGAGCGGAGCGTAGAGACCAGGCGATCCATCCCGCGAGGCCTCTTATGCGCTTGTATATACTAGCGTAATGATGGTTTATGGTCGACGGAGGCACAGAGCCCGTGGCGGCCGTGTTGGACATGCGGTAAACCGCAGAACGCAGCCGCGGCAAAACCTACGGCGGAACACCGCGGACGAGAACCGCCGGTGGCTTGCGAGACGATGCGCGTTAAGCTTAATTACCTCGTCCCCTGCCTTTCGTCCTGATGCCTGCAGCCACCGCGGGGAAGCTGATGTCATCGTAAAATTCGTCAGCCCTCCAAGGCTTCCACGGAAAGCCCGGTTTTTCCGCAAGCAAACGCGAATTTATCCGCGAATCTCGGTATCGGGACAGGCTCGTTTCTTTAACCAGCTGAATCGCTGGAACCTGCTTCGAAGCTGCGATAAAATGCCAGTTTGGTCATTTTGGTACCAAGCTGTCGAAGAGCTGTGCGGAAGTTGGGAAGGGAACGATGCGAATGTTTCTGATTCCATTTCTGCGCAAGCGAATAAAATGGAAATGAGACTTCGTTGGAATGTTCAGTCTCGTTCGAAAAGAAGTTTCTCAACTCGCGTTCGGAGGTTTACTTCCTTAATCCGATTAATAACGACTCTCGATGGTGCGAGATTTTTGGGGTGATACTCGTTGAACTGTTAAACGTGCAGGCGGGGTATATATGGCAATCGTTGAATATAAAAATTGCAGCATTATTGCACTTGCTCCCTCTCTCTCTGATAATTCGTCGGTACTAATGATAAACGCGGGAGTGTTTTACATTGTTCAACGCGAATACTAATTTGGGAATTTGGAAAGTTCAAAAGAAACTTCGAAGATATCTTAAACTACGAGCATACCACTTTGCTAAGTACCGTTTCCTAAAGAATAATTTTTAGGTTAGGTTACACCGCGTGTAGGTTTTTATTATTACTCATTTCGATATTATTTCTATTACATCGATGTACTGCACGATATTCTGCGTGGAGCGATTATTTGCAAAGACCAATCCTACAAGTCACGCGCATCCTCAATCGGTATTCGGAACGAGGTAAACAGGGCGTAAAGACGCGCGAAATTGAAGAGTTTATACTAGAGACAGGACCGAGGTAAGGGGACATTCCGTTCACTGAACTTATTTCGACTTGCCAGGGTTTCGAAGTCTATATTTCTCACGTAGTGCGAAAACAAGACGCGACGTCACAGTTTTTGCCTCGCGTTGGACAGTTCGAGCTAATCCTGTGTTTACATCGGTGCTCCTTCCTTCTATCCCTCGCTTCGGCTCGACGAGTTCTATCTAACTTCGTTATCACATGCCGCGCAACGTGAGTCTGTTTATGAACGTGGAACTTCTACGATTGTTCTAGAAAACGTGACGTCACTAGAAATAACATCCGAATTCCTATCGGTAGGCATCTTGTACCGACGCCAGCCTACTCGCGGGACCTGACGCCATCTTGGACGCGCACTAGGTTAGTTCTAGAATATTCTAACATAGTAATAGGATAAGCTACGCTGTTACTCTTTTGTCTTATATTAAATACTTAAAACAAATTCTATATCTACGCTATCGATTTATAGCTATGTATTACTCGCTCCGGATCTGTCTTCTTCGTTCGCTTTGTTACGCCATGCGACACTTTTCACGATTGTATAGCTATCGCGTAATTGATCTACTTGAAATATGACTTATCTAGCTATTTTTACGATCTACGTTAAAGAACTACGCTCTTACGCTATTATACTACGAGTAAAATTCCTTGTGAGTACATACCTCGAAACTGTGCAGGATATTTGTGACGTGTCCAGGAGAATCAGCCAAAAGGACGTCAGCGATCGACGGAGCACAACAGGAGACTGCTTCGTCAATTTTCGACTTCCGTCGACGTTTCGTCAATTTTCGACTTTCGTCGAAGCTTCGTACGTAAGCATTCGGCAACTCTCGGCTGTAAGCGAGGTTCACACTGAAGAATTATATACCTAGTTGACTTAAATTCACACACGTTCGAATTCCTGTCGTTTACGTTCGCTTATCGATGATCCTACAGATCTATCTTCCTTCATTCCCCGCATATTTTTTCGTAGGCGATTCATTAATGACACTTCCTGAAGCCGACTTACGGTATGTTGAAACAGATAGATTAAATAGATATCAGAAAGCATGTTACAGCATTTCTAGAAACGCTGGCATGACGAATACCTTCAGCAGCCGCGATAAACGGTCATTACATTGTTAGATAAATTTTAATTTTTTCCGAATTACGCATACGTAATCGAAATTGCTCTATCACTCTCAGTTTCTGACAAATGTGAGTGTTTTTAAAGGGACGCGATTTTTGGCTAAAAGAGTGGGAACGTTAGGAGATTCATTCTCGCCTCACGAGTTAGGTGATAGTACTCCCTTTAGAAGATCTCATATTTTGCAGAAATTGAGGGTGATAGGATAATTAGCTCTATAGAGCAAAAGTTAAAATTTGACAGAAGGATCTATCATCTATTGTCCAAATAAAATTTGGACGAACTCTCGCCTCACGAGTTAGGTGATAGTACTCCCTTTAGAAGATCTCACATTTTGCAGAAATTGAGGGTGATAGGATAATTAGCTCTAGAGCAAAAGTTAAAATTTGACAGAAGGATCTATCATCTATTGTCCAAATAAAATTTGGACGAAATCCAAGGTATATAAATTATACAAGTGAACTATTCTTCAGTTCTCTCTTCGTTCCTCACTAAAATTCCAACAATTTCAACAAAACGCATAGCCATCCCTAACTTTAATAGGTATCGTAGATACAGCGGGAGCTACCCTGGGTATTTCAACCCCGATGTCCCGAGCATTCCCCGAAGAAGCCCGAGTTCATTGACTGGCGAACGTGCCGAGACATTCCATTAACATGGCACACCGTGCACAAAGGGGTCGAATCAGCGTGAAAAACATTTCGCCGGGTTGAAATTCGTCGATTTATCGTGACGCAGGTATCACGGCACGTAAGCTCGCCCCCCTTGGCCCGTGTTCCGGGGCCCGTTCGTTTGATCGAGCGCCGCAGTGATTGCCCCGGCCGATATCTGCTCCCGCATCTCCGGCTAATGATTATTAGCCGTGAGCCCTCTTTACCTTATTTTTTACCCCCGCCTGCGAGCGGCCCCTTCCCCGTGACAGGCCCCGTATTCATACGCGCGCGTTCCGCGCGCGGATCCCGATCCTCCCGAGGTATCGAGTCATCCAGGTAGGCCGGCAGGCAGATGGACCTTCCACGCGCAGATATCGGCCCGGGGGATCGTGACTTTCGGTTCGCGGTGTAAATCGAACGATGTAATAAAGATCGATTGCGAACCGCCCGGCCGTGGGCCTGTATTCTCTGCTTTTTAATCCACCAACTCGTGCGGGAGAGCAGCTTGTTCGAAATAACGCGATACGCCGCGGTGCAACGTGATTGCGCGCCGAATCAGTGGGATAAGGGAACAACGATGGGTGCAGAAGGTGCATCTGTTAATAAGAATGGCCGAACGATTGTCACGGGTTCTCGTGGGGGTCTCAACCTAATTTTTTCAATTCTCCCAAGCAAAAATCTAAAATTTCGAAATTTTATTCAACCCTCGACACTCGAGAAACCGATTTTCTGTGAAAGGAATATTCGTAAAGTGTTTATTTTCTTCCTCGTTTCTTACCAACTAATAATGAACTGTCTTTTGTTTTTGCGAAGTCCCACGAAGACACGTTGTAGTTTTATCTCAGCAGACTATGACATATTTCGGATCAGGAAAGAAAACTGAAGTTTCTTAATCTGGATAATCGAAGTTTTCTTGGATTTGGAGGTCTTTCTCGTTGGATAGTCTCGCGATAGCAGAGTGTATATCAAAATGTTCTCGAAAAATTAGAATACCGATCTGACTGGTTTGACTTACGTTCGTATACTCGAGGATAGAATAATGTACGGTTTATTTCTCGTGGTTTTGTTTCATCGACAGAACTGGTAGCGTTTACTATCCCGTGTAAAATATGAAATACTCCCGCGGATGTTTGTAATATATGGAATACGAGAATGATAGGGATATCGCGTTCAATTAGATAATGCACTGCATTCTAAATAAACGTGTACACGGTTACACGGGTAAAATACTATCGGAACGTTATAGCGTCGTAAACGACGCTTTCTCTAAGTACGATATTTCATCGAAATAAATCCTGCGGAATATCCCTCGTTCTCCGCTCGTATTATTCCCCTGGACAACCGGCAAGAGCGAATGAATTATGTCGAGAAGAAACACGAGGTCGCGCTGACTGGTTGTCAAGCACAATTTATAAACTTGTGTCTGCATTAACGTGAAGTATGAATCATTTATTACCATTATTTCGGTCGATTTCGACGTGATTTCGTTTGACGTAATCTCTTTTATCGGAACCAGCCGCCGATCGACCTGGAATAATTAACGATCGCTCGTACGCAATTCCAGGGGCCACTGTCGTAACTCGTTTGTTTTTATCGTCTTTTCGCGTCGAATTAACACAGGAGAAACGGAAAGGATCGAAATTGAGAGGTCGAAGTCGACGAAATAGTCGTTTTAATACTCCACGCGTCGCTGCGAGCGACGCCATCTTTTTTTCAGTTAGTTACGGCGACAATGCTAGAAGGATCGCGATCTAGAGATAACTTCTCTACCAGCTTTGTAACCGGAGACTAATACACGTGCAAACTTACGCCCGATTCGAGGTTACGGTAATTAATAATTCGATACCCGCGTATCGACGTTGCTCCCTCGATTCTAAATGATCTCACGTTCTGGATTAGGCTCCCAGCGTGGCGCTCGTGTCGTTTCGTGGGGCTGACGCGAGCGGCGGCCATTGCGTAACACGCGTGTCCACGCACACCATCGCGCACCTGGACATTAATAGGACCGATCCGTTTTAAACGGTAATTTCATCGTTCCCTGATCTCTTCTCTTTTTATCCTTTTTCCCTTTTTTTCTCCACCTCGCGCTCTTTTCGCCGGAATTGATCGCGGCCATTAAGGTACAGGAATTTTGCGTGGCTGTTGGCGGCGTCGGTTCCGGTAAACGATTTTTCGTCTGGTCCGATGCGCGTTACTGCCTCGCTAAAGCGGCATCCGACATTTTGTAATTGGCCTAACGCCATTAAGGCGCAATTTATCGATACACCGCGGTTAAACGCGATATTAATGAGGCGATTAAAAATTTTGCTACAATCCTCCACGCGTGAGCCTCAGCTTTTATGAACTCCCAAGGTAAATAAAATCTTAATTTACCGAATAAGTAAGGAATTAGAGAATCTCCTGTGTCCCGTTTTTAATACCGAGATTTTAACTAGTGACGAATTCTAGATATATCTATGTATTTTTTGAATTGTTACAAATATGAAGGCGATTTGCGAGTGGCATTTGGCTTTCCTGCATCTTGTTATTCTTTCTTGGTCTACGAAACGTTAATCTGTGAAGTGTTGGTTTCGCTTTTAGATTATAGGATGATACTCGAAGCTTTTTAGTCTCTTTGGGAATTTGCACGTATTATTTTTGAAAGATACAATAATAGTTCAAACGTGAAGGTGGTGTGCAAGTGGCTTTTGGCTTTTCTGCATCTTGTTTTTGTCTCTCAATCGATGAAACGTTAATCTGTGGAGAGTTTGGTTTCGTTTTTAGGTTATAGGAAGGTAGTCGAAGCTTTTTAGTCTCTTGCCAAAAGAAGCTTGACGCTAAACGCGTTAAGAAACTCGGTAAATGATCCAAAGGTAGCATCAAACTTAGTTTAGGAAACTTCGGATGATTCCCAAGAAAAATCCAAGTCAGGATTGCGAGAAACCGCGTATAGGGCGACTAAGTCACCCTTCTCACGGGCGTGATAAAAATGGCTGGCGTCTGAAAAGGAGCAAATGCCTGGCTAGATGCATCATCGTTCGATAGCGCATTTAATCGAACGCGGAGCGATTCGTCGACGTCTGTGCGAGTTTCGAGCTCGGTGAAATCGTGGCCGCTATCTCCGCGATGGTAATTAATAACCTCGTAGCAGTCAGCACGAGCGATTCCGTCGGAATCGAGCCGATCGATCAGCCCTCGGCCATCCGTCCGCTTAGACGGATCTAACTCGAGCCTAAGTCCCGAGCAATATCATCATTACCGCAACACGGGCCGAGGCTTCTCGTATCGCGTAAAAGCACGTCAAACCTTCTCCACGTGCGTTGCAGTGATAGATCTCGACCCGTGCGTCGGTGAAGACCGAGCTGGATGAAAATTAATGATCGCGAATCGTGGGTTACGCCGATCACAGCCGATCTGGATTACGCCGCATCGATCAACGGTTCCGTTACGCGCGATCATTTTTCCGGCTCTCACTCTCTCTCTCTCTCTCTCTCTCTCTCTCTCTCTCTCTCGGCAACCCCATTTCTCCGATTCTTTTTCTCCACTTCGATCGCTTTGGCATTCGTTCGAACCGATTCCACGCTCGTCCCAACTTTGTTACGCTGCTTGCAAGCCAACATCGCGGAAGCGATCTGTTACCCGTCGGTACAAACTAAGCCCTCTACTTTCGCATTCGCTTGCTAAACGCCTT